ACTTTTCATTCCAAATGAGACCACCGGGGCCCGGGAACACACCCCACATATCAACCCGGTACAAACTTGCTGAGGTCATTACTCAGCTTAGGCTCCTGGAAACCGGGTCCAGTGTCCCTTAGAGGAATCTCCAAAAAGGAGAAAATTGCAAAGCAACTCTGTGACAGTACAGTATCCTTGCTAAACACTGGCATGTTTCTAAAATAGAAACTCTATTGGCAAGAACTTTGAGCTATATACCGCAAATCTCGAGAATGCACGAGGAAATTCACAAAAATTTACAAATCAACCCTAAAATTACTTCCAAGAGCGTGCTAAGTTCTTGGTTTCAAATCAACTCTAAAATTATGTCCAAGTACGTGCCAAATTCTTAGATCCTAACTAGATATTGACGCCGGGCGCATTAAGATTGTCCACAGAAAAATGGATGATTGAAAACAGCCAAGAGAACGGCCACATATAGAGAGTCGCCGCCCCACTCAGCCGAGAGAACTACGTGCTGCCTGACGAAGCAGGCGTGGTAGCGCCCGAAAACAGTGCGCTAACTACCGCACGTTCCGGCGCTAAGGCAGCACATCCTCGTCGCCCCCGGTAGGGTTCTTTTCGAAAACGCCTCAATCTTTTTTCTTTCTTTTTCTTTTTTTTTTGTGTCATCCTTGCGCAGGGGCCATGCTAATCTTTTTTTTTTTTTTTTTTTTTTTTGTTAACATCGTAGTGGCCTGATGGACCACGGATCAGATATTAAACTGATCAGAACAGATACTACACTGGATCTTAGCCAAAAGGCCGAGAAAGGTATTGGGCCATGCTAATCTTCATTCTCTGTATCCTTCCAATTTTAACAGATGTCCTGAAGGACTCCTCAATCTTTTGCCGACAGTTCCTCTTCATGGCTCCCGAAACGGGCGGCAAACATTTCCACTTGCCTCCGGGGCCTGCGGAGCCCTCTACATGCGGGTGTGCAGAAACAGGTGGGATCCGTTACTCTAAAGAGGAGGCCAGACACAAGGTCGAACGAGCAGCATGTTGGCAAGCCAGGATTTGGCCAGAAAGAAGGGTAATTAGCAAATAATATTCGTTGGACTGTTTGTACTGGTGACATTGACATAAATTGTGACTGAACCTGGAGAGTTTCATGCGAACATGCATGATGAGAAATAGATTGGCTTTCCCCGAGATTGAGCACTTACTCAGCCAAACTGATAGTCCATATCCGTGACAAGGGCTTCGTCATGTCTCAAATCGTTCCGTGAAGGGAGTCATAAATTATTACTACTACTACTACTACTACTACTACTACTACTACTACTACTAGTGTGCTAGTATACTACAACTACTACTACTGCTGGTGCTGATGCCGCTGCTGATGCCGCTGCTGATGCCGCTGCTGATGCTGCTAATTATAACCATCATCATCATAATAATAATTGTCATTAGTAAATATTAAATAATAATAGTAAGAATAATAGTAATCGCGAGTGAGCAATAGTGAAGAAGAACAAGAAGCAGCGTCCACCTCAGAAGATTGATCACAATGACGTCAAAGAAAAAGATCAAAATATAATACAACGTCGTCGAGTGGAAAAGGAGTACGTGACGCCGTACAAGTACCAGAGTAAAGCGGAGAGGAGGAGGAGGAGGAGGAGGAGGAGGAGGATGAGGAGGATGAGGAGGAGGAGAGAACGAAAAAGAGAAAAATAAGGAGTATGACCGAATGGTCGAGATGACGTCAAGAAGCTGACCCGACGTCGTCTACTACCGCAGAAACACAAAAAATTACCGAAAAAAAAAAAAAAAAAAAAAAGTACCGACAGAGCAAGGGCTTACCTTCCCAAACCCCATCACTACTCGCGGCCATTGAATCTCCCCATCGATTTTCCGCGTAGGACAGGGCAATGCAACCGGAAAAAAAAAAAAAAGAGAACAGAGAAAGAAAAAGAATGCCGCATTGCCGCGACCCCTCAATTTGCCCACTGGATTATTTCCCCCCCGTCTTGAGTTACTTCCCCGCTTCTTGAGTTACTTCCCCGCTTCACCGCAGCCAATCGAAGACTCGATACTTTCTCCGCAGTCCCCGTTGACCAGGCGATCTTACCGCTTTGCCCTTTGTCGTCTATCGCGATACCCAACTCCGGTGTGTATCTGCTGGTCTTGTGCACATCTCGTCGCTTCGTCACTGCACAATACCAAGAATCTCAAGCTCGCTATCTCACTACCTCCCCACTAACTCCTCTTTCCTCTCTCTCCTTCTTCTCTTTCTCTCTTTTCTTTCCCCCAAATTTCAAAGCAAAAACTAACCTTCTATTCTTTTTTGATTTAATCCAAACAGGGAAAGCACAACGACCTCCCCCAATCAGACCCGGCGAATTAACTGGGGCCATAATTACCGCTCTCCAGCTCTATCAGTTACTACAATCCCTTGTCCCGATACTCCATCCCGGTCAGCATGGGATCTCTCCCTCTCCTCCCTCTCCTCCCTCCATCCCCATCCTCCTTACCTCTACATATATTGACCACTTGGAGGTACCATGCCTATAGGTCCACCGACTGCCGGACCTGTCCATTTGCCGCCGTCAACGTTGATCGAGATCGTCCGGTACTCCTGGCACAAGGCACATCCATGGCAGAAGGCATGACGAAGGCAATCGGTCGCGGCGCCTCCTTCGAGTCCGAACTTCTTCCTCAGCGCATTTCTATGCCATCCTCCATAAAGTCCGACGCAAACGAACAGCAGAATCGTAGCCAAGATAAATAGGGTCCTAATGGTCGCCTCAGGAGCTTGCCTGGTCTGAAGAATAATCGCTGCAAGGTACAGAACGGAGTAGAGACCAAAACAGGCGAGGAGATACAGGATGGCTTTGGGAAAACAACTGCCCAACCCTGCCATTTGCATACTCTGCCCGAAGGTGACACAGGAGCACCAGTAGGTTTGACAGCACAGGATGCACCCATCCTTATTTCTCCCAGATTGGCAACAATCGCAAAGACCCCCGCTCCATTCCCTTCTCCCGGGACCCGTTTGGGAAGCTTCCATCGCAGATTATACACCAGCTTTGGGTTGCTAATGCGCACGGCAGCGCCCCCCCTCCTCCCCCCTCCCACCGCGCTGCCCCTTCTTGCGATGGAGACTCGGCCTCTCAGGAGGGGATGGATGGATTGCCAACCGCCCGTCCGATTCTGTTGGTCTCGCTGTGAATAGCCTGCGCCTGTAGCTGTGGATATGGCTATTGGATAGCCTATGGACACGGACGGCGGCGCTGGAGTGTTGCTCCGGATGGGTAACCTCCAACCTTCTCCTGATGAGCGCGAGCCTAACGGTACGCGCGATGTCCGTCTGTGACAGCGCGTCTTGACATGGATTACTGAAGCAGGAGGGGGAAACGAAGCCGCCGGAGCCAGCGAATGTTGACGGAATGCCGGCTACATCGGTGCCCGGAGAACCTCCTTCAGGAGCGCAATAGCCGTGAGCTTGATCTTCGTGATTTGCGGCAGGTGTGCTGCGTCGCCGTCGCTCACCAAGCCATTCACTCCTCAACTCAGCTGGCCCTGCAGGCCGTCATCATCCCGTGACCTGTTGATAACCCTCTCTCTCTCTCTCTCTCTCTCTCTCTCTCTCTCTCTGTGTGTGTGTGTGTGTGTGTGTGTGTGTGTGTGTGTGTGTGTGTGTGTGTGTGTTTGTGTGTGTTTGTGTGTAGTGTAGCTCACGTGAGAGCGCAAGTGAATGTGACCTTACGCGTGCTGCTCAGAAAGTGTCTCTGTCTGCCGCATGGCACACGAAACGAAAACTTTCACGAGTTCGTTTCGTGTTCACACCACCATATATGGTCACACGAATCTCAATGCTGAGTGTAATCCCGGTGGTTCTCTTACCACCACCAGGATAGAGGTCTTGCACAAGGGCCTTCAAAATAAATAAATAAATAAATAAATAAATAAATAAAGAAAAATACTGAGTGTATCCACTCGCAGGAGGTACATATTACCTGCCTGCAGGAAACTAAACTAAACTCTGAAAAAAAAGAAGAGGCCAGAGGTCGGTGGCAGGGCCCCCAGTTCTGGGCCCCAGCAGAGGGTACGAAGGGTGGGGTGGCAATTTTAATTAGTAAGGATTTGGACATAGAACTGGTTGATTGTTTTGTGGACCCATTGGGGCGATGTCTGTGGGTGAAGTTTGCTGTTGAGGAAGAAGATTGGGTTGTGATGTCATTGGTAGGGGCACAAAATCTAACAGATTTCTTCAGAATACTAAATCCTGAAGAAGGAGGCTTCACATGGTACTGTCCTCAACCAGCGCCTCACGTCTCTCAGCCAAGGAAAAGGCTAGATTTTTTTTTGGCAAGGGGGGTTGTTTGGGACAGATGCCTCCGGTGTGACTTCAAGGTGGCATTGTTGTCCGATCATCATCCAGTATGGGGCTCATTCGACACACCTCGGGCGCGTAAAATCCCCGAGGAAATCATGGTTCACTTATCCTCGGGATAGAAAATGAAAAAAAAAAGTGAAAACATTTCCTTGGGGATTCCTCAGGCTACAACCATTTGGACGCGTTCCCCAAGGGTCCTCCCGAGGTCCCTTGGAGGTCGAGCATCCAGAAGAATCGGGGCATCAAGGGCGGCTCTCTCCACGACAAATTTCGACGCGGCTGGTCCATTGCTGTTCCTGGCGGCCCGTGGACGGACATCTCCGGTTGGCAACATACTCCGCCAACGGTCCCCTTTGGCGGCCTGCCGTCCTCTGCGACGTCGAAAAGGGGCTGCCTTGCGTCGCTGCCCTTCGGCACGAGTGGGAAAGCGCCCAATGGTCAGTAGATTCAAATACTTCAGCCGGCCCCCGCTCTCCCGATTGCGCAGTGTCTTCCGCAACGGAATACATTACCCTGCTTTTGTCGGTAGCTGCGATCGCCTGTTTGCAACACTGACCCTCACTGTTCCTGGACGTCCACGGTTGTCTTGTAGCTGTTGCCATCGTCCACATGCGTTTCATGGCCGACGTCTTTCAGAGGCTGCCCCTCACTGTTCCTGGACGTCCACGGTTGTCTTGTAGCTGTTGCCATCGTCCACATGCGTTTCATGGCCGACGTCTTTCAGAGGCTGCCGCTGCTGGTGCTGGTTGTCCTCCTGCTCCTCCTCTTAGTTGTCTTCCACGTGTGCATCCTCGGCATCGTTCCACGATGTGGCCGCAGAAAACGGTCTTCGAAGAAGGGCGTCGTTATGGAGGGGCGCCAGGGGATGTGCAGGTCTGCAAGGGATCAGGGTGGTAGCCAGCGGGCTGGGCAAAACCCGTGGAGAAGTTCAAGGTCGTCGGAGCGGTCTGGGTACGTGCACCTGCCACCGCACTTGCAACCTCTGCCGGATACGTCCGACGAGGAGGCGGAGGGCAGACGGTCACGGACCGTGCCGCTGGGAAGCGGGTCCACCCAGGAGTGGGCGGCTACAGAGCTCGGTGGAAGCCGCGATGGCGGTAATGGGCAGTCGTACACCGAACTCCTCCAGCAGCGGTTGAGTGTTGACGAAGGTGATGGCGGCGTGAATCTGTCATCCGGGCTGTGTAGCGGGAGGTCGTCGGCCACCTTGCAAACGGTCATCGTCAACAACCATCCCGACGACGACGGCGGGCAATTGACAGTTGTTGCGCGGTCATCGAAGTCTCCAGCGGTGGTCGGGGAGGCGTTGGGGAACAACAGGGATCCTCCGAGGCAGCAATACTGGTCGTCGTCTGTGTCGAGGGGTGCCTCGGCTCGCCCCCTGTGGATGCAGTCTCCGTCTCCCCTGTCCGCCAGTTCGACTGCCGCCCGCCGTCGTGGCGAATGCGGGGAGACGGATTGTGGCATCGCCGATGTTGCTGATGCACGTGACATGAGGGAGGTATGGGCAAAACAGCAACGGACGCTTCATCCACGGCGGGAGGAATCCATAACTCTGGGGTGCAGCGACTGCGTGTGGGGGAGGAGGAAAACGACGGCCACGCACCTGCGGTGGGCGCGGACGATCAGGAGTGGAACGACAATGGCGGCGAAGGTGGGGAGAAGGACGTAGGCTACATATCACCGTTCAAGCAAAGCAGCATGGGAGGGAGGGGCGGGAAGACGAGGGCGTGTGCTCGCAATGGTCGTCGGGGGAAAAAAGGGGCGGGGAAGGGGAGTGATGCCGAAGGTGAGGCTGATGCGGAAGGAGGTTGTCACTTCTGGTCCATCGACGACATGATAGCCCTCATCCGGGCTAAACGTGACCAGGACGCGCATCTGCAGGGGATGGGTACAACGTACGCTCGTATGAAGCCGCGAGAATGGAAGTGGTTGAATGTGGCGTAGAGGTTGAAGAAGGTGCGCGTCGACAGAGAAGCAGAATGGTGCGGGAAGAAGTGGGACAATTTGGTGCAGCAGTTCAGGAAGGTGCATCACTTCCAACTTCCAAGGCTTATCCGGGAAACAAGACTTTTCCAATTATCTGGGAAAGAGAGGTTGTCGAAGGGCTTCAATTTCAATATGGATCGTGTGGTTTACGACGAGATACTGGGGTCGACTGCCAAGAGCCACACCATAAACCCGAAGAACGTCGCCGACATTGGTGCTCCAGGTGTCGTGCGTCTGCCGTTTGCCACTTCTGCGGATCCTGAATTTGTGGGCGATGGGGATGCTGGTGCAGGGCACGACGACGACGAGCACGGGTCGACGAGAGGTTCTTCTCAAACGACGGGAAGCCCTCCCGGTTTCGGCAAGAGGAAGAGCACGAGGCAGCAAACTTTCGAAGCATTGCCGAAATGCATGGAGAAACACGGGGCTCTGGTGGTGTCGACGATGGAGAGCAACAGCAAGCGGCAGTGCTCCATCCAAATCCGGCAGTGCAAGGCGTTGGAAGTGGAGGTCGAAGTGCAGAAAAAGCACTACGCTCTGCTGGAGATAGCGAAGGCCATCCGCGAGCGTTGGAGTCCGTGCTGCCATCATCCGGACGACGCGAAAGTGAGAGCCTTTTTGTCGTCGATGTAGCCGTCGCCTGCCCGTCACGGACGTGACGGTTCCCGATTGGTCGTGCTGGCCAGGGAAGTGGGTAGTGGTCCGATTGGGTGGATGACTCCTCCTGTCACATTGCCGTCTGTTTCTTTTTTTGTTTTATTTTTGGTGTTTCTCGTAGGCTATTATCTCTGAATTTATATTGGCGCCAATGAAGTGCAGTATGCACTTCCTTTTTTTAAATGAGGACTTCGATTTGCTTTTTCTCTCTCCCTTTCTATCTATCTACTTGTCTCTCTCCCTTTGTCTCTTTGTTTTGGTATCTTTCCCCCCCCCCCCTTTCTNTCTCTCTCTCTCTCTCTCTCTCTCTCTCTCTCTCTCTCTCTCTCTCTCTCTCTCTACCAGCATGTGTTTCGTTGTCCTCTCCCCGAATGAAATGCAAAAGTGTAATAAAGGTGTTGTCTTCAATGTTATGGAATGTTGTTGTTCATATCGTGAATACCCTCACACAGTCGTCGATGGAGATGCTGTGCTTGTGTTCATTGCAAATTGTCGTCTAAATGTGGATGTCCAATCATTACAAGTAGAGATTTCGAAATGTGTTGTTTCCTGTTATCTTATTTCGCGCCGTTGTCGATCCCTGGGTGGGGTGGTGGTTGTCGGAGGTCCAGGTGGTGGGAGGGGGGGTTTGTCGTTGACACCTCTCCTGCCAAATTAAACCCCGCCCCCTCGGAGATATGTACGCTATGGTTGTTTGGGCGGGGGTGGTGGTGGAGGCGGGGTGCTTTGGGGGCGTAGGTGAGTTTCGTGCTTGGGTACTTTTGTGATGCGCGCATTTTTTGTTGGTGGGGGACGTGGATAGCGACTGTTATGGGGGTTGCCTTTCGGGGCGGGGGGTCCTTCGCTGCCAAAATTGACGAAGGGTGGCGAGAAGATGGGTGGCGTGGTCACTCGCCAGTGCCAGTCTTCCCCGCGACCTTTGGCCTGTCGTGATGGTGATCATCGATGAGCCCCACGAGGGCCACGACACCATCGTTTCAACGGGAGGGCGATGGAGTTGTCGTTTAATAGTCCTGGGTACTGCTCGTTTGTCGCCGTCCACCAAGCACGGGTGTGTGTTTATAAGGATGCGGTCGTCCTTGCCAAATGCACGATTGGGCTCCAAATGTGCGCATCACGGTACACACGCCAACCTTCTCGCTGTGTCGCCTTCACCCGCTCCTGCCTCCTCTCCCCGCTTGTTCTTCTTCGCGGCACGAAGGTAGTCGCACGCTGCACTCCGCCTTCGTTGTTGATCTGCGTCTTCCGGCGGGTTCGCAATGACGTGCGCGCGCTACGAAGGCCACTCGACATCACTTTATGTGCCTGTGTTCGACGTCGTCGTCGTCTTCCTCGCCGCCTTCATCGCCTTTCTTACCATCCTCGCTTTTGTCACCACCGTCGCTATCGTCATCGCGATCACGGCCATCGACTTGCTAAGTGCACGAGGCCATCCACCATCGTCGTCGCCGCATCCGCCGTAGGGCATCTGAACATCATCGTCGCGTTGTTCCATCGTGGAGTGCGCAGCTCAGATTTGTCATCGTCAATTCCATCGTCGCCATTATCGCCGCGTTCGCCGTCTTTCCCGTAGTCTCCGCCATTGTCTTCATCGCCGTTACGAGTCGTCGACAACGTCTTTCGGCCCGTCGACGACAGCGACGACATCATCGCCATACCCACCATCGCAGTCGAGACGACGATCTAAATTGGACGACACGTTTCACCATCGCCATGGAGATCTTGACTTCGCGGGTGATCAAGCTTGAAGTGGGTGTGTCGTGCGTCATGTCGTCCCGCGGTTCAGGACGCAGCAAGTCCGCCGCCAACCTGGCAGTGGAAGCGGCTGCCCGGGAGAAGAAGGGTCGCCATGTCGCGAACAAGTAGAGGAAGCTCGTCCAAGGCTACGTTAACCCTCGGCTGTGGCCGAGGCCGGTGTCCTCGGCCGCGACCCCCCCGGCCGCAACCGCTCCGGTCGTGTTTTTTCGGCCGAGGCCGCGACCGAACTGGGAGGTGTTTTTGGGAGAGGAGAGCGGGTTTCGGGTGGGGGTGGGGCGCCCCACGCCCTCGAAGTGAAAGACCGACACAAAAAATAGAAAACGGGGGGGTCCTAAACATGGGTCTAGCAGGGTGGGCCAGGAAAATTATTGCGTCCACCGGACTGCATTTCGTTGATGCAGGTGCGTAGGGCAACAAAAAAATTTCCCTGAATTAAATCATCATTCTATACTAAAATTACATTCTCAATTTTAAATTTTCATTCCATCTTAAAAAATGTCATTCCAATTTTAAAATTTTCCGTCTTATTTGAAAATTTTCCTTCCTCGAATGGGGTATTCCTTCTTATTTGAACTGAATGCTCGAGATGGAATGAAAGTTTGGATGAGTTCATGAGATATTTTAATTGGACTGCCGTTCTAAGTAAGGATTTTCAATCATAAATAAGGTCATCCAATCTAAATTAGAATATATTTGTTGTAGTAGAATGAAAGTTTAATTAAAACATTTCATAAACTCGTCCAGACTTTCATTCCATCTTGAACAAATAGATGTAGTTGGAAGGGAAAACTCATATTTAGACGGCAACTTATCAAATAAAACTAGAAATTTTAGAATTGGACAAACATTAGAATGATAATTTATGTATATGAAGGATTCTTTTTTTATGGAATGTTTTTTCAACTTTCATTTCTCGTGGGAATTTTTCTGTTGGGGGGAAGGTAAGCAACACAGAAAAAAAAAAAAAAAAAATGTGCCCCCTGCGGGTTCGTTTTTTTGGGGGTGGGGCCCGTGGGGGTAGCTGGTAAGTGGGAGACCGTGGGACCGTGGGCCCGCGTTGGGGGATGGGGGTCCGCCGGTTCCGTGGGTGGGTTTATCATTGGGTTGAGTGGGGGAGGGGGGAGGACCCGAGGGGGGACCGTGGGGGCACTGCGTGGGTTTGGGTCCGCACCGCGGACCCGATTTTACACGAATTTTCCTGAATTAAATAATAGGTAAAATATATATATATATGGGGTTGTAGGGAATTTTGAGCCCTACAACCCCATATACATTTTTTTTGAATCCGACTTTATTTAGGATTTTAAAAAAATCAAAAACAAAATTGGATTTAAAGAAAAATTAAAAATATATATATATAAAGAAAAGCAAGAATTTTTTTTGGTCATTTTTTATCATGAGATATATGGTCCGTGAGTTTACGTGTATTTTTTTAGAAATGATTACATGTTTTTTGCAGAAGTGTGAGGTGTTTTCAAAAAATGCGGATGCCCAAAAAAAA